AACTTTCCAGAAATAACATTGCCAGCATAGATATATTAAGGGAAAATGAACGGTAAGCAATAACCAGCCAATGCTTGGCAATCTTCATCCCCACTAAAACATTTATTTTCACTCCATGGGGTTTTTTTGCCCCTTAAATACCTCAGTGACAAATAAATTATGAACATTACAGCTAATTTATTACTCAGCACTGCTGAGAATGGTGAGAAGAAAAAAGACAGCAGTATTTTAAAACTGATTCTTATTCTAGGAAAACAAATACTTTATTAAAAACAATAATAAATTAAATGGAAAAAACTGCTCTTGCAGTTAAGTCTGCCCATGCCTAAGCCATTCAGGCTCTGCTGCTGTCAACCAAGCAAAACCTTTATCATTAGCTTCAGCAACAGAATCAAGCTCTTAATCTCTGCCTCAGTTTCCCCACCTGCGACACTTCTCTCACCCACTCAACTCAGACTGTGAAAACTCAGAGGAAAATTCTATCGTGCAGCACCAAGCACAACAGAAAGCTCTGAAGCACTGCAGTATTTCCAAAAACTGTCTTTAAGGACATCCTCCACACAGACCTCACCACTGACTTCAAAGAGTGTTTGACCAGGTCTGTACAACAGGAACACAGTATTGCATTTGTCAAATTTAACATGGGAGAGGAAGGGCTTGAGCACCAATACAACTTAAAAAATCCAAGAGCCAAATTCTGCTCTTAATCCCTCAGTTCCCTGGTGTTCATCACACAGGACCCCTATTTCTGTTTGTTCCACCAGGAACCCTTTGATGATTAACTTCTGTATTTATCTTTCATACTTTTTTTTCCTGAAGATGGAATTTCAAGATTTTCATTAATATCCCAAACCCCAGCGGCAATAAAATTGCACAGAAGGAGCTTGTCTCTCACACACGCTCTCACCTGGACTCACACAGCACTATTTTACTGCAGACATGTTAAGAGGGCTTTTGCAGGCTGCAGTGAAACACTGCTGCACAGGCAAACCTCTCCCTGGGAAGTTACGTGTGGCTCAAAAGTTTTCATTCAGCAAAACAAGAAACAATTTGGCATTCATTCCCACGCAAACACCAATGCACCCTCCTTGGGACGGACCAATTATTTTCCTTTCCATCCCATGCTCAGGCCAGTCATCCTCTATCACTTGATAAAACACATGAATAGCTGCATTCAAAGCTGCAGCAAACAGAGACAGCTCAGTAAAGCTCTGTAAAAACAGCTCCGCAGAGCACACCACGGAACTGGTTCCTAACACACTTCCCATATGCATGCCCTTTATCTAAAGGAGCCCATGACTTTGGCAGATGTTGGATGCTTGCAAGTAGGTCAGTTTGAACCGGAGCGAGTCAAGGCTAAAGGCTAGAGAGGGAAATTAAATCGTGTTCCTGCTCCACAAACTCTGGCCGTCAAACGAGAGCTCTTCGCCTTCTGCTCAAGCAATGATTTCACCACTGGCTAGGCAAAAGATTTGACTGGCAGGGTGATGAAATGCCTCAGTGATAAACTGTCAGGAGCACTTGGAACGTTATTACCAGTGAAAATATTCCAAAATATAGTGCACGTAGGAATTCATGGGGGGGGGGTTGGACAGGGAGGGAAGTGTTGCCAAGGTATGTGAATCAGCCTTATCAAAATCCTCATCGCTGCACGGCCAGCATGACTGATCACACTGCTGCATTCACCCGAAAGGCACAAGGCTCCGGCTGGAGAGCGGAGGTTCCAGCCTTTCCCTCCTGGTGCCATCTGCACCAACAACGCTCAGCTCTTTAATCCACTGCCCAGCGCTGCGGGAGAGCAACCGCGGGGGGAAATCAGCTGGGCTTTAAAAAGTTGCTGCGAAAACCCTGAGTAACTTCTGCAGCAGGAATGCCTGCAGACTACAAGCAGCAGTTTCCCCACTGCCACTGCAGTTGCTGGGAAATTCAAGTTTCCAAAAGCGCGCAGAAGTAATTAGATGAAGCCAAATAAATGCATACACAAAACCTTACAAGAATATGCAAATAATAGGGTGTATTCAGCAGCCCCAGAAATTAAGGCAGCAGCACAGGCTTGTATTTGCATAAACTATGCAGGATATGGCACCAAGTAATTTTGGAACATGTGCATTTTGCAAACAGCAAGAATAATAATAGACAAATATTTTGGAACGTGACATTGATCAAATACTCCCTAAAACTTCACATGAAGAACCTCAGAGACACTGTACTACTTCACCACAGACATCCACTGTTGGCGTCCTGGGGTATTTTCACTGCTGAGTTCTGTGGGAAAAGAATTGGACTTTATATAGATTTTTATCAGCATTTATTATTTATAAAGCCCTGTTGGCAAGCACAATGTTTTATGAACAAATAAAAGTGAATGATCTTTGCTTCAAAACCACATAATGAATGAATGTATACTTAGTACATATATTCAAGTGGGAGCTGCTGGTTTATTGTACAGTGAACACGGAAAAAAGAAGGTTTTTTACATCTCTAAAAAGAAATAGCAACATCCACTTCTAAATGTACTGACATGAAAGCCAAGCCAAACCAAACTGAGCTCTTCAATCACTCCTGAGAAGCCAAGCCTCTGCCTTGTTTTCTTAACAAGCTGAGTTTTTGCCCTCATGGTCTCCCTGTGCAGAACAAGGCAGACAATAACTGAGGAAACCAACTTGTCGCCGTATAAGGCAAAAAAAGGTTTCTCTTCCTGAGTTACAAATAACTAGGGAAAGTCACAACTGTGGCCAAGGAAAGCAGAAGTATGAATACAGTACTCCCTCACTGCTGACAGGCTAAAATTAGTAGTTTATTCAATTGCCCAGAACTACACACTGTGCCTGTCCTACACAGCATCTCCCTATTTGCCTGTCTGTCTGTTTGCTCTCCGCTTTGTCTCGCCCACTAATTTGTCCCTTGGGGAGCAGCCTGGCAGACCACAGCCAATCCCCACTGATCCCAGGAGCCTGAGTAAATGAATATCCACCTGCAGTTACACCTGAGCAACTCCGCAGTGCCTCCACTGATTTCATCCCATGACAGCACCTGAGAACAGCACTTGGCCTCATGGGACACTCCGTCTGCAAAAACGATTATGTCCTCCACACTTTCCACCGAGCATCTTTCCTGCTCCTGCTCTCACTCCCCTGCAGCACCTGTAAGCACAGCACTGGCCAGACTCTAAGCACACATGTACCCTCCAAAGATAATTCCACATTTGCATCTGTTCATTGTATGAAGAGCTGCATGGTATTTGCAATGACGGCAGATAAATTTATACAGGGAACAGAGGAACACTTGCCCAGTGCAGCTGGGCCACTGCTTATGCATGCTGGGGATTGTTTTTAGTTTGCTTTTCTTCTTCCCTCCCCTCGACTGACCAGTTGTCTGTTACTGCCTGTGGATCTGGCTGGCCACGGGGCATTGCTGTCATGCCGCTCGGGATACAGACATGGAGAAGGGCTGAGAGTAGAGACAGCAGCACCTCAGTTGGGTTTCACCCCTCGGAGGAGGGAGGCTACAGGAATCGTGATGGCAGTGGTCATTTCCAGCCTGTGGGGCTGGGGTGTGTGAAACACTCCAAAGGAGTGAGAGGGAGCAAGTGCTCTACTGTGGTACAAAGCACGCACCAAGAGTTGGGGAAAACAGGAAAAGAAATGCTAAACTGGTGAGGAGAGAGCAATGCGAAGGAGTTTGAGGAAAATGCCACACCAGGGACTATTACTGCTGATCAGACACTGTAGTGAAATGTGCCAACATACAGTCCTCTAGCAGATCCATACGTTTCCAGCACACTGGTGCCCACTGGGTGACATCACCCGTGGGCTCTTCCCTGGCTATTACTTTGAGGAAGGATTACCCCACACTCATTCACACTGACAGCTCATTTTGCAAGCAGCCCATTGGAAACAATGTATTTACTTACTAAGGTATTACTCACATAAAAGAGGCATGTTCCCGTCAGGCTCCTACAGCTTAAGTTATACCCACCTATACTCATGCAGGGTATAGAACTGCTAAATTTATCTCATCAGATCTGATGTAGTTTCCTTTAGAATTGCAAATATGTTCCAAACTAAAGTTATGTTTTATTATATGGAGATGAATTCTAATTTCCATTTCATATTAATGGGGAATATTAACCATGGTTAGTTTAGTCACATACCTTGAAAAATTATAGATCACGTTCAGTACAAATTTGCATAAGTAGTTTGAGCATGTGAGAGGAGCAATGCTAAATACTGAATGCAAGTACCGAATGCAGAGATCTTACACTTACTGTAGAACATATTATGTGTATGGCCTCAAAAAGCCTCAGAGATTATGCATATATTTCTTTTCCATGGAAACTATAATTCTCAAATCCAGCAATCTATTTTGAGAAATTTAAATCAACTATACACTTACATCTGCTGGAAGCAGAACATTTCCACAGGCTGTATGCTCCAAGGCACAAGCACAGCCGTATGGACATCTTCCCAACTCTTCTACTATACTTCTGCCTCTGACACCACATCTCACTATGCAGATTTAGCGCTGAAGTCTTATTTTGGCTGTTCTGTACCCAACACCGGGACTGGCGGGGCTGCTGCGCTCAGCACCGCTGCATCACTTGAGAGGATGAGCAATACCGGGTAAGGCGGGAGGCACGAAGTAAATGCCCCGCTAGAATTTCTTGGTATTTATTCACTGTGAAGCAGGAAGGCTGGCACCGGACCGGAGTGCCCGGCCGGCCGGGGAGCCCGCAGCGGTGCCAGCCCGCCCGCCGCGCTCCGGCCGCTCGGGAGTCCCGGGGACCGGCCGCAGAAGTTGGGAGGCAGCGGGTAGGTGACCCCTGGGCACTGCTGAGTCATTTCAGCCGCCAAACGCCGAGCTGCCGTGACCCCCCCGGGCTGGGGGGCTGCCCCGCCGAGCCGCCCCGGCGCCGGCCAAACTTCCCCCGCGCTCCGCCGCGCACCCCGCCCGCGGCTCAGCCCCGCCGGGGCGGGGGGCTGCGGGCCGGCCGCACTCACCAGGTAGGCTCCCACCGTGCCCTGGGCCAGCATCAGTGCGCACTCGGACACCAGGAAGAGCTGGATGCTAGAGAAGCAGGAGACCTTCCTCCGCCGCCTGCGCTGCCGCGGCGCGCCGGCCCCCGGGAGCTCGGTGCCGCCGCCGCCCGCCGAGCCCCGCTTCCCCGGCATCCTCCCGGGCGCCGCCGCTCCGCCGCCGCGGGATGGCGGGCCCCGCGGCTGCTCCGCGCCTTCCTCCTCCTCCTCCTCCTCCTCCTCCTCCTCGGGGTGCCAATCACAGCGGCAGCCCGCGGCGGCTGCCTCTCCGCCCGCGGGCTGCTGCTGCCATGGCCAGCTCGCCGCCGCCTCCGCCGCCGCCTCCTCCTCGCTTCTCTCCTCCCCTCGCCGGCCGCGCTCCCTCTCTCCGCCGGCCCCGCGCAGGCCGGATCCGCGCCCCCGCTGGCGAGGGGCGGGGAACGCGCGGGGATGTGGATGGGGCTGGCGGAGACTCCGCGGCGGCGGGCGGGGCGGCCCCGTCCCGGGATCCGCCGGTTCTTGTCACCGCGGGGGAAGCGGCCGCAGCGACCTCCCCCCGAGCCCCAAGTGCTCTCCGGACCCGCAGCCGCGAGCGGAGGGAGCGGGGATGCTCCCGCGCGGCGATGGGAACGGAGGTTCTTCGCGCAGGTTGTGCCCCCGCGTTGGCCGCTCCGGCACCTCCTTCCAGATGTCACCCACCCCCCTGGCCCAGGCGCCCTAATTTCATACAGTTGTAGGTGTCCTTTTGCAAAGGGGAAGGGAGGCCCTGCAAAAATTAGGTGGTCATTTAAAAGGACCGGCAGAAGGTGTCGTGCGTCGGGTTGCTGCTGCCACGTGGGCCAGCCTTGCCTGTCCCTCGTGTCCCAGCCCTTCCAATGGTGCCCTTTGTGGTCACCCCTACCTTGAGTTCTAATTTCAAGAGATATCTTCTGTTAAAAACCACTAATCTTCGCTTCTACTATTACAGCTCACATTCCTTGCTGGCACAATAGGAAAACCTGATCTATTTCGCTCCTTGAGTGCACTTTTCCAGTTCATTTCTGGATCCACACTGGGGGCTGCTACCTGACTTCCTCATGTTATTAACCTTCCAGTTACGTGTAAGTTTAAATCCGTAATGATCCATTTAGTACTGAGATGCCCGTGGCCTTTGTGAGGAACAGTTTTCTGTGGAAACACAGGTTACATTTTTCAGAAATAACTCATGATTTGGATCCTAAATTTCTTTTCAAAGGTGGCTGAGGCAGTGGTTGTTTGAAACTCCTGAACACCTCAGAAGATACCTGTGAAAATGGAACTTAAGAACATTCTAATTTTTCAAGGCATAAGCCAGTCATCACCAGGAAGCCAAGAGAACTGACATTTTAAATGAGCCCTTTTTTTTTCCTTCCCGCACTCTTCTTGAGTTTCTCCTCCCAAAATACTCTCATCGCTTGGGGGCTTTTTATTTTGGCCTACTTTTATGGGAGTAACTTTAGTAAACACGATGCTGAAAATTACTCTTGAGCAGAGTCTCCACCCAGGGTGATGAATCTTTACCCAGATCAGCTGGTGCACATTGCCCTGCAGAACTGCAAACCATTGATAGAAAGAAAAGGGAAAGACCTGGCACAGTCAATTGCTGCCCTTTGCTCCTCAGCTGCCAACAGCCTTCTCCCATGCTGAACTTTGGCTTGCTACAGCTTTTCCAGCAGGTCTGGGCCACATCAACAGGTGTCACTAGTCCCATCTACCCCAGGGACACAGTCTCTAACACTGATGGCCTGAGGCATCGTTATCAAACAATTAGTGGGGAGAACAGTCTGGTGCTTGTAGCTGAGTGGTCTTCATTTTAATGAGATACAGATCAGTCCTTTAGACATTGCAACCTTCACAAGATGCACGTTAGAAGCTACCTGAGGCCTCAAATGCCAAGGTTTTTGCATGAGGCCATGAAAAACTGGCTCTTCCATCCATACTGGTTTCTGCTAGTTCATAGGGGGTTTGTTTTCCATCCAGGGAAAACTGGTTCTTCCACCAAAGAAACCCAAAAAAGGGTCATTTTTCTGGAAATCTCTTTAGACAGCAGAACTGCTCATCTCCTTCCTAAGATGTTCATTTAGGGACCTCTGCTATAAAAGTCCTGAAGTTAGGAAGGTAGCGAGGTCTCTAGATGGGTAGATTTGCAGATTAATTCAATTAACATGGCTAGACAGATGCTTTGCTCCAGGTGGATGCTGTAGCGTGTTATAAACAGGATGGACAAGCTCACAGACTTTTAAGTAGGTGAAAATAGAGTGGTGTCTCTTAGATACTTCAGCATACAGAGTTATAGTAGGGGAAGTCTTAAAATTCCCTAAAAATGATAACAGCCTACATTTTTAGGGCATGCTGGTCTTTCCAGTCAACTTTTGCCTGCTCTAGGTTAGATGCTAGAGGCAGTAAAGCTGTGAAAACTCATATAACTCATCAAGTCTATCTCTGGAGACAGAAGGAAACCTCTGCACATGCTACTGCAGTTACCAATATTCGAGTCTATGCTTTAAAGCTTTGAATATATAGATATATATATAAAACATATGCAAATAGCATTTTATGTCTTGATCACGTCTTAGACATCCTGTTGGAAGAGTTTGTCCAGGCTGATAAACTGCTTGTCTTTCACGAGGAAAACAGCTGCTAGAAAAATTTGACTCTAATACTAATTATCTGAAACATCTGGTTGCTTAGTTTATTGCAGCAGAATAAAATGATCAGTTCAATTTCTGTCCAGAAGAGACAGAATGCCTGAATTTTTTTGCTCTTCTTTATGTTGTATACTCAATTCCTTTAGAAAAATTCCTCCTGGATTGCTCTGCTGCAAGAAAGAATGAGGGTCTTGCATCTCCTATGAAGTCCATTGGTAGCCCTGAGTTTGCTTTTTAACATGCCACATTCCTGAATGATCTCGGTAGAATGCTTCAGGGATGGACAAGTGATCTTTTCGGATTTAATAGTTAATTATTGCTATACTCAAACAGCTTTTCTGGTCTAAATTGACGCAGTTTTAACTACTAATGTGTGCAATACTAATGTTCTTGGATTATCATTAGCCTAGAATGAAAAACGACTTTATAGCTAGAATAGTCCCTTTTCCTCAGGGCTCAGTAGTTTTGCCAGCACAATTCTCAGCTATTTCCCCGACCAAAGCAAGCATTAACAACTTTGCCCCCCACAGTATTTTGCATTAAATATCTTGCAGATACCTTGTCAGGTTTTCATAAACACTCGAACATTCATAGCTGGGAGGCAGCAGTGCTGCCCTAGATAAGGTTGGACACCACAATCTGAAATGAGTCGGCTCCCCTGAGACCACCTCATTACATCTTGTCTCTGGCCATCTCCTTGCTGAGTACCTGTGGGCTTGTGTCAACATTCACCTCTGGGTAACCTTAGCAGCTGGAGTTTTCTTGATCTGTCACTAAGCAATTTCTACGTTAGTTCCCTTCTTACCTCCTGTTTATGGTTACTATTACTGAAAATTAGCTGTGTAATCATGTGCTTTGATACTGGACAGGCATAACTTTTTAGATGCATGTCTAGAATCGGTGCCTGTGGTATATGGGGCTTATGGCACAGAAGAACTGAGAGAGAAACGTGAAGGGTGAGAACCTTAGTGAAGTACTTGACTGGTATCTTACACCTCAAGGGGCAAAAGTGCAAGCTGAAAATCTAAGCTTAACCATCAGCAGTGTTGGTAACAGGAGGAGGAACAGGAGAGGATGATTTTCCTTCAGCAGAGCTGGTGGAAACCACTTCTGTGAAATGCGCCAAAGCAAGCAGCTGAGCTGTGTCATTAGGCATCTCTACAATTGCCATTGGAATCATATTCCCAAACCTTCCAGACATGTTTTACAGTCCAGAGAGCTGATGTGTGCCTCACCCAATACAGCCTCACTGGAGCAGTGGTGGGCACCCAGTGTACCTACTCCTGCTGAGGATGCAGCAGAGAAAACCAGGGACAGTTGCTAAGAGAAGATGATGGTCTCACAGGAGACATATCAGTCCTGTGGTGTTAAACAAACAAACAAACAGACAACAAAAGCAGTGCTGCAACCATTACTCAACTTCTGTCACCAAAACTGATATGGGTATTTTCTACAGGGCAACTGTACTTCATCCCTCTCCTTTACACTGCTGTAGGTCAGGAACAGCTATTAGAGTTTGATACTCACCCAAGTGTCTGCATCCTCGTCCTTCCCCATGGCTATGGTTTTATGGCAGGTGTTTGTGCTGTGCAGCTTTGGGGTTGCCCTCCTGCTCTGTGGCCCTGGGTGCCGGCCTAGCTGTAAATCACTGTTAATCTGACATAATTGCAACAGTGACTGAGGAACATCATCGGGAGAGCTGCCTTCGGGGCATGCTTGCCTCAGTCTGCCGGGCTGACACTTGTTCTGCCCCTTTATCTGGCAGAGGAGATGCTTTCACCTGGCTGTGAGGATGTCAGAGCACTGCATTAGGTACTAGAAAATTGTGTTCCTGAGAGGTTTACGTTCTGCTCCATTCAAACCCCTGCCAGTGAAGCTACAAATGAGGCACAGCTGTCTCAGATACCACTGTCAGACTACACCCATTTGGGTTTCTTTCCAGGGCAGTGTATCCATGTTGGGGCCAGTTTTCATTTGCTTTAAGCCATTTGGATGAAAGGAAAGCTCATGTGCTGCCAAAGTAGATTTGCATGTAACGTAAATCATGTCTCCTTGGCACCAGATCTGCACCCCTGACTGGTTCTACTTGGTGCATTTGTCTCAGGGAAGGCTTACACATTAAGAAAATAAGGAATAACTTCAGATATGTTCAAAGTACAAGGAAGAAAATGTAAATAAATAAGAAATCCCAGGACTTTAGCCAAGAGGCTTTTCCTTGGGATGGCTTTGGAATTCTGTTTTCTGATTCTCTGGTGCAAAACCCCGCAGATGGGCTGGTACAGGAGGGAGGTGACAGGAAAGGATTTTCATCATCTACTGGTGTAGAATGGGGGTATAAGTGTGCCCATCAGCCAAGGGTGTACAGCAGTAAGGAGAGCTGAGACTGGGACAGCTTGTGGATGTATCAGCAGCTGTCATTTCCAAGATACCACAGTTTTAAAGCAGTTTCTTTCTATAAACACTTCTGACTTTACTGCCTTTCTATTTTGAGTCCTGCTGGAGACTTGGTCTCATTAAAAAGGCATTTCCTTCAGACAAGCTGATTAGATAGTTGTTCCTTCCTCCAGATGATGAAAGGATGGAGAACACCTCACTGAAGCTA